GGGGGGGGGGGGCAAGGTCGACCCGCCGGTCGTGCACGGCGGTGGGCTTGTCAGCGACGGCCCCGCGGACGGAGAAAAGGAGGGGGGGGCATCGTTGGACGACGACCGAGGAGTTGCAAGGTTCGGGCGGCGTACACCCCCGGGTGCGGGTGGCGACACTCTTGTTGGCGAGGGCGAAGGTTGTGGTGACGTCGGGGGACAGGTCGGGCGTGGTGCCGTCTCACCCGACTCATGTTCAGGCAACGCCGGAGACGGTGGAGAAGGTCCGGGTCCGCAATGGTCGGGGTCGCGGGATACTCGCACGGAGTCGTCCTCGCCCTCGTCGTCCGCGTGTTGGGACAGCGGGCGGAGCGACGACGGCGCCGGCGAGGGGGACGGGGAGATGATGGACGGTGCCGAGGACGAGGAGGGTCGCCAGGGGACCGATCGTAAGGCGCTGTCCAGGTCTCTGTTCGATGAGATCTTGGACCAGAACGCGATTCCAACAATACGGCAGAACAGTGAGTAGTGTCCTTGGTTGGTTTGAGTTGCGGACCCGTCTCTCTGTGTTGCTTTTCTCCGGCTTTCAGAGCTTGATCGCGTTTTGGGGAAGGGTGGTACCGGTGGACGGGTCAGCTGAAAACCACACCAAAAGCACCGCCAGTGAAGTCTAGCCTGCCGCAAACGAAACGCACCACGTCGCGAAAGCTCATCTCCGCTTCGAACACTACCTCTCCCTTCCCCCGTCTTCCCGATCACGCTCAGTCGTCCCCAAGTTCATCCAGAGCAGCTACTACGAGATCTTTCTGGCGGAGCTGTTCCCTCAAGTCGAGACACCGGACATCAACGCTTCCGACGGCAACGAATTCCGCCTCGCGCACCTCAAGTCCGACAACACAAGCATGACCCTCGACGAGGGCGACGGCGGGCCATCGAGACAATACCGGACTAACTCGTTGGAGGAGGTCAGGGACAATCCGGAGGCCCTGTCCGCGAGGATCGCCCAGGCGGTGGCGGCTGCCAGGAAAGTCGCGGAGGACGCGGCAGTCGCCCCGGAGGCGGCAGCGGCTGTAGCTGCGGAGGTGGCGGAAGGGGGACGGGGCAAGGTGATTCATCTATCTGTACGGGGGCCGTGCCAGCACCCGGCGGGTGTGGCAGCAGAAAATACGAAAATTTCGTATCGAATCGTCAGAAAAGTTGTAGAATAGGAAGGATTGGTTGAGGTCTGCCGCGATTCTGTTGTTTCGAGCTAGCGAGGTCGAGGGGAGTGCACGTGGTGCCACTGTCTACAGCATGCGGCACCGCATATATGCATCGTGTGCGGAGCAACAAGTAGCGTAAATGGGATGCATTTAATACAAGTGCGTGTAAGGGCAGAAGCGTGGGAGGGGTCGGGGAGAAGAGGGGAGGAAAGAGGGCAGGGAGTAGACTACCATTGAGCGAGAAAGAGTGAAAGTCGATGTTTTGTATCACAAAAGCTACGTATAGACATCCACGCGAGTAATTGGTTCTAAGCGGCAGACCTCGCTGATTGGGCAAGCTCCGTGCATCTGCGTCTGACGGTCTCACCGTTGCTACCAAAAACACAGAGTCTTGCTGCCGCGGTAGACTTCGATTACTGCTCCAGCTCGGGCCACACACTCGGGATAGTGAATAGCCGTAGGATTGATTGGCCCGCTTGGCATTCTCGGCCTGAACCTCTATGTCAAGCACCAACTTCTCTACGGTGATGATGCACGTCACCACCTGTACTGCGAGCAAGAGATCTAGCCTTGAGAGTGGTGTCTTCTTTCAGGCGTATTTGAGCCGTGGAAGTATCGTATCGTCATCAGCACAGCGACGGGAAGCAGAATGCTTTGGCAGGAGGCTGCAATATCAAAGCACCCTTGGCTAGATATTTGATTCGTATTTTGATTGTTGATTGCCTGTTACTGCTGCTACGCGTACGTGTCCCCCGCCCCGTTCTTTTTGACCTTTTGTATTGCTTACAACACAACAGCCATCAATCCTTCTTTTTCTCCCTCTTGTTGCCCCTTCCCTTTTCCCTCTGCAGCCCGCAAACCATTTGCCGATGACGCCTGTTTCCCCTTTATCGTGTTGCTCCCTCCACGGTATACCAGGACCCCGCCGCTGCTGCTGTTGAAGCATCTGACTCGGCCCTAGAAGTTGCAAGGGGTCAAGAACGCTTGCTCACATTGGACGAGGCTAGAAGCGTGAACGACAGCGCGGTCAACGGACTTCGATTATCCGAGGGGGATGATGGCACGGACCATTACGGCGAAGAGGAGGACTTCAGCGATGAACTGCTGGTGGTGATAGGATTCCGGAAGGGGGGGCTAGTCAGGAGAGTGTCGACGGGGGGGCTCGCGAGAATAGAAGAGAAGGCAGGAAAACCTTGTTTGCTGATGTAGCGTCTACTGCAGGGCGATGATGATGTGTTGATAACACTGGTGGTATTGAGTATGGATAGCCACAAGCGTAGGGTATGGAGATCATGTTGTCAACAGGCTACGCATACAGAGCTAGTCTAGAGTTCACAGAGTCCGCATTTTAGATATATGTTGTCGTGGACTCCTTCTGTAGTTGGTTTTTCCCTTGAAAACGTCACAATTCTGCTATCCGTGGAAGAAAAACTACCATTCCTACCTGCGCTACATCGTTAGCACTCTACATCTAGACCTAGATGGATAGGTAGAAATTGGCCATGAATGACGAAATAATTACAGGCAGAGGTGCGTCATGCTTTTCCTGGGGAAACTGCAGCTAGCTGTAGCTAAAGCTCCCAAGTTCCTGTAATGTGCAACACACTCATCAACCTCTTTGTTGGATGGTCGTACTGTGTGTCGGGCAGCTTCTTGTGCGTATGGAACGGGCAATAGACGGTGTTTTCGTGAAGTGCGTGAAGTAATGAGGCGGTGACAACCACTGCTCTTTGTGAGATATGCATTTGCTTACATGCATCATACTTGCGAGAACTGGCTACAGTAGTTTCGTGTTTAGACGGGGGCATTCGGACTCCTGTATTTTCATATGTTTTTCCATGTTCCTCTAAGAGACCGATACGGTCTCTAGAGGTGTCACAGAAAGAAAAAGAAAACAAACGTGAGTGAATGAAAGAAGGAAGAAAATTGATCACTTTCAGTCCAAAGGCCCGAAACACACACTTTTTTGAGCCGAACGCCCGAAAAGCGAGAAATCGCCCCACCCATCGGTCGTCCTGCACTACTTAAGGAGCCCTCCGCAAGTTTCAGCTTGATTGATGCCTTCTGCATTGACGGTTGGCTGCATCGGTGACCGGCATCACTCTCGAGCACGGAACACGAGAAATGCAGCAGGTCCTGCCGACGACACCAAATTGCACCGATCTCAATCGATTTATGCCTAGTCTAAACGTTGCCTATTCTCCACTAAAGTGAAGCCTCGTCCAATCTACAGCTGGATTGAAAAGTCCTTCCACGCTGGAATAGCGGTTTGCCTACCAATTTTGCCTGCCAACGCGAGGTTCGGGCCACACCGCTGCAACGTCCCTGGAAGGTAAACTACGCGGGGTGCAGCAAGCCCGTGTTGGGCGTCTGTTGGGGCAGTGGGTAGTCGGCCGTGTTAGGCCGAGAGAGAGAGGTAGAGATTGAGAT